TTTGCACCTAGGTCTGTTCCCCCTTAATCTTAAATATATTTACATATGTACATGTCTGTATTTAGGCTGTGTGTATGCCCTTTGCCTCCTAAATTTTACTGTTTATTGAAAATACGGATCTCTTGGCCTACTTCAGGAGCCTTCTTGAAAGAAATCTCTCTCTATATATATAATATAGATTCATGTTAAAGAGTTCAGCTGTGACTCATTATAGCTAAAGCCTAAGTAAAGAGATTATTTATATTTTTTAAAAATTGAGGCCACGCATTTAACTTCTCTAGGCTGTTTCTGCATGTGTGACATTAGGATGACAACATATACGTTTGCTGTAAAGATTAGATGAAGCAGAGCCTGTAAAGTACATAGCATAATATGTGGTTTTCTATCACATGCTCAAAGAACAATGACTATAAACCCACTAGGAAAGTATCAATGAGAAAAGAGAGGAAAAAGAACTGGTGTGAGACTGTGAAACATGGATCTGCAGGGAGATAGTAACCGATTGGTGTGTTCTGCTTTCTCATATCCAGATCAACCTCTTACAGCCGTTCAACCTCAGCTGATATTTTAGGGGTCATCGACGTTGTCTCCGCTTTTCTGTTCATTGCCACCAAGGAACTCACCAATCTGGGAAAGAGTTCAGCAAAACCAAGCCCTAAAGTTCTGTCTCTTCTTCTATTGCAGCCCTCACTTCCAAATGTGTCTGCCTCTTGCCCTTCCAGTGCCTCAAAGGTGGAACCCAACTGTACTGCATTAGAATCGGATCAACAAGCAAGAAAACAGCAAACATCTGTGAACTGGGAGCTATAAAATGTGCCAACAAGAAACTGGAAATATTGTACCCTGGAAGGTGTCTGACCTAACGCAACTGCTGATAAACAGATTTACTATCCATCTCTACGGGCTGGAATGTTATTCAAACACTCAAGAAGCTATGGACCAAAATTATTTTGCATTTGTCTTATATAGTGATTCTTCCCTTATTCCTGTTTACCCTGTGCAGGTCCAGTCCACATGTCCTGGAAACACTAACTTTCTTGTCAGTCTAGTAAATTCTCTAGTTAACTGAATAAGTTACATTACATTAAAATGTTGGGACTTCTGCAGCTTTTCTGAAGTGTGTGGTATGAAGCACCTGCACAATTAGAAATAAGGACGCAAATGTATAATTCAAAAATGTATTCAATAAATAGAGTAATATAATCATCTAAAACAGATTGTAAAACAACATGTTTGCATTCATTCAACAAATAATTCCTGAGTATTTACTATGAGCACCTATATCTATTAAGCTGCATCCTGTCCAGGTACTAGGGCATTATCAATTAATAAAATAGACAAAGAATTTTTCTTTCAGGGAACTCACAGCTATGTTAGGGGAAGAGGAAGATAAACAATAAATTAAAAAGTCTTAAAATATATAGCCTGTTTGGTGATAAGTGCTCTAATCCACCCCCCACCAAAACACAGCCCAAGTAAGGAAGGGTAAATTCCATTTTTAAACCTTATCATATTCAAGAAAATAGCCCAGAATAATAAGCATCACTGTGAGCACAAGACTCAAGGGGAAATTACTTTATTTAAAGTAATTAAGAGTAAAGTTCTAGAGCTCCATTATCTCCAGAAGGAGAAAAGAGATTATCTTTGTGTGTCTCAAAAGGTTAACATGCATCACAAAGCTTTTAAGCTGAAGTATGTTATGGCATAAATATGATCAGAGAAATCTGAAGAAATTTGTTTTTAGGGTAAAAGGCCTTTCTTATATTTTGAACATACCAGGGAGAACTCATTTCATAAAGGCCAGGATGTCATTTTTAATTAAAGAAGGGGAAGTGGCCGTGGGGTGGGGGCGAGGGGGGGGGAGCCTCTAACAATTTCCCAAGTAATGACACTGCAGATCAGGAGCCACACATTGAGAATCTCCAGGTTAGAGAATGAATCACCAAACCCCTAACCTGATTGGATTTTCCATTAAATTGGATTTTCCATTAAAATCTTACCCAGACAATCTTCAAGTAAACAAACTGAAATCACTTTCTTAAAATTCACTGGCATTTCCACCAAGTTGTAGTACTGAGACTGGGGGTGGGGGTGGGGGTGGGGGAGCCCCAGATACCTGGCAGGACTCTGAGTAGGTCTTATACATGTATCCCTTAAATGCAGTTCATCCTCCATCTCAGTGTAGAATTTGGGCCATAACAAACATCTTGTGATGTCCAAGAAGAAAGAGAATGGAAAAAAAGAAGGAAAATGCACATTTCTGGTATAACAGAAGCTGAAGGACGTTTTTCCATCCCCAAATTCAGTATATTAGAGCCCCGGCTGAGGGCCCACACCTTAAGGAGGGCCAAACTAAATTCTCTGGTACTGAGTCAGTGCTGACTCATAGCGACCCCTGTTGGTTTCAAAGACTGCCTATGTGAGTAGAAAGTCCAGTCTTTCTCCCTAGGAGCTGTGGGGCTCCTAGCACCTGTCAAGAACAGTTCCTCAGGATTTGATTAGATCTTTCCTACTCAACTCTCACGCCAGCCCCAGGCCTTTCCTGGCTGTAGGCTAGCACTAGAGGAGGGAAGCCAAAACCAACCTCACTGACATGGAGTCAGGGGAGGAAAGGGTGCCTGAAATCTGTAAACCGTTATAATAATCATCATCATCTGTAGCAGTTCACAGGGAAATTCTCTTCCTCCCCTGGTGAAGAGGAGGAGAGTGCCAATACTAAAGGCGGGCTAGTGAAGTTCCAAGACAGCTAATTGTAAGGTGTTGGTGCAGCTACAAACGCGGGGTGTGGATGCCACCCTCACTAGCTGGGTGCTGTGGAAGGTTAGTGCTGCCTTTGGGGAGGACTGTGCCGGAAGTGCTCCCTGAGAGAGGTTGCTCCCGACAGGGAGAGTTCTCCCTTAGAGAGCACAGACCATTTCCTGTGTAAGGCGTGCTAAAGGGGAGATGCTTCCAAGCCAGGCCTGCATGGCTCTCTGAGGGAGATGGAATGACATACTGGGGGGAAACAATGATTGCAGTCTTTTCTCCATTTGAGTCCCAAAGTCTGCAAAAGAATGGAGACATTTGGTGAGTGTCCACCTCTGTGTGAAAGTAAACAAAGCCGAAGAGAAGCAGGAGCTCTGAAGTTATCCCAAGTCGGGGACAGGGCCTCTAGAAACCTAGACAAGAGACCCAGCCCATCACAGGAAGCAGCGCTGGGCCAGGAATAAACCAAATGGCTATCTAGGGAAACGCAAGGCTCGGTGCCCTATTTTATTAAAAGGAGAGAAAAACGGAATTTGACATAATGAGAGCTGTGATTGGGGGGAAAATGCTTTCTATTTACAACTCAGAGTATAATAAACGAGTTATAGGCCAATTATGACATTCATATTGTTTGAATAACATCAGGCACACTTGCTTTAAACATGTATTTTATATTCTGTTGCTTGTACTGATTTTCTCTTTTTAGGGTGCTTAGTTGGTCTTTTTTGCCACGATAGCTATCTTTGTTTTAAAGAACTTTTTTGAGTGCATGAGTCCATTAACGTTTACGTTTGGTGAATTTGCGTATCATTTACCAGCTGAAGTGTTCAGTGTCTCACATTAATATTAACGTATCAATTTAGAACATGTGTTAAGCGTCTGTGGTTAAATTATCATCATGAAGCAGAGGGTGGAACACATACATTTAAATCCTGGAGTTTGGACCTAGAATCACCAACTCTGTCCTAGAATACTAAATAAATTCTAGATCAAAGGTAAAGCTTTATCTTCTTAGACTTCTAGAGATAAAAACTAAGTACTTATGCTTGCAGTTTAAGCTAACTGGAAGCCTATTAAGATCTTTTTAAAATATATATTTTAATTTTGTTGGTTTCACAGACAAGATTTTGCCAAAATAAATGATACTCTCAGTTTAAAGAATTTTATAAATACACATGTTAAATAGCCCAGATGGCTTAAAAGTGGAGGTACAGACACGGTTCTGTGACTATGCTTTTAAATTCCTGTCATTCGAAGCGGTGACATCCAGGTTAATTAAAGATTTTCTCTATCTAGATAGCCTTTAGCAAATCTCTATAAATTATAGAATATGTTATTGTTTCTTTGTTTTTCTGTAAAAGGTGTCAACTCTCATAATCAACATGTCTTAGTTTTAAAGGTTGAGCTTCTGTACTGTTCCTAAAACAGCTCCCATAAACTAAATTTAGTCCACACCCCTCCCTGAATGCTGGTGGTAAGATTCTGATAGACTGTGATTTTTCTGGTTGACATTGGACATTAAAGCATCCAGGAGCTTGATTAATTGGATTCTAAATATCTGGCTCTCTAAGGTCACCTACACTCTTTTGGAATATATCGAGTGTGCAATCAATAAGGCACCATGTTTATAACCAAACAAATGACCTGAAAAAGCATTGTATTTCACCTGTTATGAATGTGAGACAGGTCACTATAACCCTATTTGTCTTCTTGACAAGTTCCAGCTGCACAGCATCAGCTGCCTGTGTCAGATATCAGTTATTAGACCGAGTTCTCACCCATCATGGGACTCCAAGGGACAGATGGTGCATCAAAAACTCATACTCAGAAATATGTCTATAGAAAGATGTTCATTACAACAGTATTTATAGTATCGACATGACAGACATTAACTACCCCGTAATAAAGTATGCCCTTTCCTTAAGATGGAACAGTATGGGACACTAGCAAGCATGTTAAAAAAATTGTAAAAGACATAATCAAAAGTGAACAAACAGACCACAAAACTATATGTGATTTTATCTCTGGAAACTGCGCATGTGCATGTAAATGCCTTTTCAAATAACCATCAGGAAAACAGTATTTAACTTTGCATGCAAAATTGGCAAGGTCGTGTCAGACTTCATCTCACGTAGGAGGAAGGAAAGAGAAACAAAATCAGCATTAGCCCAAGGCAGACATGGCACCGGAGCCCAACTTTTTTTCTTTTAACAAGTCTGAAACCAGTGTTTTCTCCCCCAGCACCCTGGGTGCTCTACTGGGTCAGATAATCATTTGTAATGGCCACACAGTTATACTCAGAGTTATGGGGTTTCTCAAGGAACTGTTGTTAGATGCTATCCGGTCCATTCTGATTAACCACAACCCTATGTATAACAGAACTAGACACTGGCCAGTACGGCACCATCTTCACAATTGTTCTTATGTTTGAGCCCATTGCTGCAGCCACTCTGTCAATTCATCTTACTGAAGCTTTTCCTCTGCTAATTTACTAATTACTAGACCAGGGACCGATCTCTCCTGACAACATGCCCGAAACACATGAGATGAAGTCTCACCAGCCTTGCCTCTAAGGGGCACTCTGGCTGTACTTCTTCCGAGAAGGATCTGTTTGTCCTGTGACAGTCCATGGTACTTTCAATATTCTTTGCCAGCACCATAATTCAAATGCACCCATCATTCTTCAGTCCTCCTTGTTCAATGTCCAACTTTCACATGGACATAAGGTGATTGAAAATACCTTGTCTTGGGTCAGGCACACCTTAGTCCTTATAGTAACATCCTTGCTTTTCAATACTTTAAAAAGGTCTTATTCAGCAGGTTTACCAAATGCAACCAACTCATCATTGCATCTTGACTGTTGCTTCCATTAGCACTGGTTTCCTATCCATGCAAGATGAAATCCTTGATAACTTCAATCTTTTCTCCATTTTGTTACCTATTGTTCCAATTGTGAGGATTGTTTTAATACTTTACATTGAATTGTAATCCATACTGAAGACTAAAATCCTTGTAGTCTTTTTGAAATTCAGGATGAGGAATAACTGGACACAGTTCTTTGGTCAGGATAGCCTCTTGGTCATGCCCACAGGCTGATCTTCCTCTTGGCTATTGGCTCTTTGCCCTTCAACCCTGTTCCTTTTTTATTCACCCCAGTCTCTTCTCTGCTCAGGCACTGGTATAGTTCCTATGTTAGCTCTACCAATACGGGTTCCAAGGCCCTCCGTTGTGCTGACAATCCTTCTCCCTCCCAAGTGCTTAGTCATCTTACTCCATGAGTCAGAATACTTAGTGTAGCCAGCTCATTCCATGAGGCAGGAAGTTCACTGCTTCACCTTGAACAGATCTGCTCTTTCTGCTGCTACTGCTTCTCCGCCACTGGACTCTATCATGCTTACTACCACAGCTTCTCTCCATGGGCAAAAGGCGAGGCATTCGACTCCTGGAAAGAGTTGTAGCCTCAGAAGTCCACAGGGCAGTTCTGCTTGTCTCTGTAGGGTCTCTCTGAGTTGGGATCAACTTCATGGCAGGGAGTGCTGAGTTCTGGTGTGAACATCTCTCTCTGTCTACCAGGTGGTTCTCAGCACAGGGAGCCTGGGGACAAAGGCTCCACCCACCGCTGTTTTTCTTGAGGGTAGTGAGGCCCCAGTCCTATTAAAATTCCTATTATGGGT